CTCGCAAGCTGAAAGCAATCAAGACAACTTAACGATCGAGACAGTCAAAAAAATAGCTGTACATCTACAAAGGCGAACGATTAAAAAAATACGCAATCCCTGATGTACGTACTCAGTGCCACACATAAAGCAAATTCTCATGAAAAACTGGCATTTAATAGAAACACAACCACTACTGAGCGAACTATACAAAAATCCGCCGCTCGTATCTTACAAAAGAGGGCGGTCGCTCAAAGACATACTCGTGAGGGCTAAACTTTGAATAGGCTACTCTAAACACACGCTTGGGAGTCGTGTAGGCCTGTCAACCCCATTTTACGCCACCATCTTCCTCTTCGCTACTGGAGACAACTTCGCTTCGTTCAGAAGAAGATTCACTTGACAAAACTTCAATATCTGCCATCTCCTTCGCCCACGAATACAAACAAACAGTGAGTGAAATAAACCACGCTATCGGAGTGAACACAACCAGTGACGTCATCAATCCATTTCGCTCGGTACCAGGGCCCGGACATGGTTTTGTGTAAAATTTTTGATTTGAACGGTTAAAAAAGATATCTTTCGCTTCTTTTTGGCCAAAGCAAATTATCTCATGATGATCAGCATATTCAAAACTACAGGTTAGAGCAACTATTTCAGATACGAAAATTTCGTTTCAGTAGCACTTTAACAGTGAAAACAATTATATTGATATTAGCTACAGAAAACCAATAGCCCAACCCTTGTTTTTGCATTTTGGTAACTTTTAGTTTTCTGGGCAGAAAATATAAAAAACTATTCATGAAAACTCAACGCGGGCGCGCGCGTCATATTTAGGCAAAAACTGAACGGAGCTACCTCAAGTTTTATCCGTTTGATGGACCAGTGATGTATGGACGGACTTCTACGTTTCCAATCAGCATTGCGCTGGTAGTAGCTCAAACTGTGCATTCATTTCAAATGTAGTACCGTAGGCGAATGTTATACTAATGCTACAGCAGAATGTTATTATTAACAATTATTCGCCGAAGGTGAGGTGAATATCGTCGAATAATCCCCGAGACGAAGTCGAGGGGATTATTCGACAATATACACCGAACCTTAGACGAATAATTCTTTTAGTATAATTTCAGAGCTGAACAACAGAGAAATTTCTAAAATTATAACAATTTAGTAACATTTATTAACATTTTATTTTAACATTTTATATAAACCGCGCGGAGCGGTTTATATAGCGTCATATAAAGAACCGCTCGACCAATCAGATTGCTGGAAACTCAATGCTCAGCTCTGAAATTATACTAACGAAAATAATAAAAGTGTATGACTGTTTCGATTGTTTCTCAGTCAAAGAATCGTCAGCGTGGTGTTATAATTTCAAAGCGTTAAATTTATAAATGTGGCCTTCCATGGGAAAACATGTTCTAAGATGAACGCAAGGCCCGGTAAAGTGACATGCTGAACATTATGCAGTGGGTGAAATGACACATGGCTTCCAAGCGGTGTTACCGGTGGCACGACTTATTAAAATTGTTCTTATTAAAATTGTTCTTTTTATGGCACGATAAAAACAAAGGTGCGTGTCAAGAGCAACATTGCAAAAAAAAAAAAATAGAAGAATATTTTATATATTCAGTAAATGTTAAGTGTCACACTTGGGGTCGGAGAAATCCTCAGTTTTAAATTAAAGTAAAGGGTATTCCATAGATATTCTGAGATCATGCTAGAAAACAGAAGAGGACATAATTATATACATAAACGCTAAAAATGACAAGAAAACTGATAAAATACAAGGGTAAGGAAACGTGACACTAAAACCTCCTTTCAATTGCAGCTTCAGAAAAAGCAACTTGATTCTCATCTAGAATCTGCGGTAAGACTCCATCTTGACTTGGCTTGTGTAAAGTTGAACGCCACTGAAGAAAAGGTTAAAAAGTTTGAAGAAACAAACACCAAACTAGAGCATAAAATCGAGGAGCTCCAGAGGAAGTTAGAAGAGGAAGGGAAAGCCCAAGAACGACTGACAAGAGATCATAAGTGGCAGTTGCGTGATTTAGATAGAAAAATTTCAAAATTTAAAGAAGAATCGCAACCATATGTCTGGAAGATCGAAGAATTTAGCGAAATTTTTCACCACGCAAAGGGGCCTACGGAAAGGGAATACGCGTTAGAGAGTGGTTATTTTTTTAGTGGTCCAAATGGCTATAGGCTTAAGGCACTTTTGTATCCCGATGGTACAAATGATGGAAAAAATACCCACCTATCTGTGTTTTTTTGTGTAATGAGAGGTAAATACGATGCTGTGTTACCCTGGCCCTTTCAGAAGACCGTTACATTTACGTTAATTGACCAAGAAATAGGTGAAACCCACGGAAATAATATTGTCTGCACGATTGACACCGCTCACAAATTTGATAATGATGCTTTTTCCAGGCCAACGTGGGAAAGTAATTCTGGGTATGGTTTTCCTGAATTCATATCACACGAAGATCTATTCGATGGATCCTACATTGTTGATGATACTTTATTCCTTAAAATTCAGGTTGGTCCCCCATCGAATTTCGGATGTGTGTGGGAATGAAAGGTGTTCTAAGTTAACAGCGTGTTTTAAGTCTTATTTTATC